TCTCTCTCTCTCTCTCTGCCACTCCTTAGCTGTCACTATAAATTAAAGCAATACAAATAATAAATCATTAATCTTAACCACTTAAACGTATTAGCATTATTATGTAAAACTAGACCAATAACAACATTTATACATTGGTCTATTGAGGTCATTAGGATTAGATATTGGTATTTTACTCTTTGAAGTGTACATTTCACTTTCATCTTTAAATAAAAAATACTTTTAAGGGGGTTTTGAGGATTAACATGAAGGCATCTTGTTCCCCAGTATTGTGTTTGTGTGTTTCTTGTGCATATACAAATATTTGACCATGCTTTCACATGTAGAATCATAATCCAGATGGTATTAGTTGTCGTATTTCCACATCAGACCCCCCCATTCCTCCCCCACCGACCCCCAAATGTCCATTCATTTGCATGTGGCCAGGCAGCCATGCCTTGTGCCTCGCTCTCTGTGCAGTACACATTGTGAGTCCATGTTGTACAACACATGCCCATTCTGCTGTCAGGGTGGCAGTGGTGGTGGTGTGTGTGCATCAGATCTGTATTAGCTGCCAACACTTCGGCCTTATCAGCATGCCAGATTTCAAATTAATGCCTTGTCAGTGAATGCGACAAGGCACTGTGTACGCTGGCAGGGGTCGCAGTTTCCAGCCCAGCATGCTAATTGTGTCCTTAATGTACAAAATTAGAGTTTCACTGGTAAAAAAGACACTCATTTACACATTGTAAGCATCACTGCAGATGTGTTAACTATGTTTGGTAGCAGTTAGCCAAAAGTTCTTTGCGTATGAGATGGATAAAGGAGAGAAACTGAGAGCAAAAGGTTTAAAGAATGTTATCATGAAAATGGTAAGATATGATGATATAAGAAAGTCAACTAAGGTGCTGTTTAACAAATGCATTGTCCTCAGTGAATATTTTAGATGTCAGAATGGCAGGAAGACTGAGTGCCCCTGTTCACTTTGCACATGCCCAGACTGTGAGGGCTGGTTCCCAGCCAAGCTCAACTCTCTGACAACAGCTGACGAAAGAACACAACTGCCCTGTAGCCCCGAGTCTGCATCCTTGTAAATGAAACACTTCTTTGGAGATGCAAACGTTGCTTTTCTCCCTATAATAACTTAACATTTCAGAAAACCATCTCAGTTTGAATGTTAATATCATTGGCTCCCACTTATGTGGAATACATTTGTCACCTAATGTATTTTATAACAAGAGTAAGAGTCATGCTGGTCCCTAGCTCTGTGAAGCTGTTCAGCTTTGTGGGCACAGCTGTGCTTTTGAACGTGATGATCCTATGCATAATGTTAATCACTGTCACCATCTTTAGCATGTTTGTGTACTAACATCTGCTCATTAGCACTAAACACAAAGTGCAGCTGATGGGGTGTCATCAGTTTTATTGTTTTGTCAAAAGGACGAAGTTCCTTGCATGGGTGGTTTCTGAAGAGCCGTTGTGAAGCTTAGTGTCCTCGGCTCTGTCCCTCACCATCTTGGCAGTCCTGACTGCCAGCTCCTGGCTTAACCATGGTGCATAGCTACATCTCTTGGCTAGAGACCAACCAATAAAACAATATATTCGCTATTATTATTTGGGATTGGTGCCAACTAATAAGTAACAAGAATATGCAGTGTAGAGAATACAAACATATGTGTTTTTGGTTATTTAACAGTGTCTCCATTACTCTACTAGAGAGCACTGACAAGTTTACTTTTCATCTGGAACATGTCCCGCAACATATCTTGGTCATAGTTTTCCATAATTAATAATTTAAGTAATGCTTACTAAAAGAAAAGAATACTGGGTGATAAACATAGACTGTATAATTAAAAATAGACATGACGTGTCCATGACGTCACCCATAGGTTTGTGAAGAGCTGTTGTGAAGCACAGTGTGGTCGGCTAATGCCCTTGGCAGTCCCTTACTCCACTAGCTCCTGGCTAATATAAAAATGGTCAAAGAGGTGGAGCGCGGGTGGAGCTGAGGTGGGCTGAATGAAGCCTGGTTACTGAAAACAGCCACCTGTGACTGCACCCACCTGTCACTCAAAGCAGCCACTCCCTTAACTATGCATAACTTTAAATGGTAAATGGTAAATGGACCTGTACTTGTATAGCGCCTTTCTAGTCTTTACACTACGTACCACATTCACCCTTTCACACACATTCACTCAATGATGGCAAAGTCCATCGAACAGAAACTAACTCATTCAATCAGCCCCAGCTGCTGTAAGGTTAGGCGTTTTAATATGTGGCCTTATGGAGATTGACTCACTGCTGCAGTGAGGGGCTGCGAGCTGAGCTGCTGCTAACGTTAGCTCAGCTTGTTTCTCTG